GTTATGCATCTGAAGTTACGCTGCCACTAGGGTGATATGATAACAAAGAACTGGAAGCACATCGTGGCCACTGTGAGGGGTTATTAGTCAAGTAATTGAGCCTGTGAACGTCCTTCTTTTTTATCTTACCACCCGAAAGCTTTGAGCAGAAGTTATGGTGAATAGAATACATGGATAAATAACTCACATTCGACTTCGGGGTATTTACCTTGATGATAATAATAACATTTACTTATAAAATCTTTCATACTTATCATATAGGATGTCAGGTGGAGATGGTGATGTGAACTTATTTGAAAATTATAATAGTTATATGCTTTTAGTCCAGTGCAAAAATTATTCAATGGCAAAAGTTGGCGCCAGTGATATCAATGTCTTTGAAGGAGTGCTGTCAAGATACGAGAAGGACAATGCATTGGGAATCTTTATAACCTCAATTCCCAATGGTTATTCATTGAATGCTATAGACAAAGCAGATTTATCAAATCATAATTTATTGCTTACGAACATAATAGATATGTGTTATGATATTCCCAGTTACCAGTTCAAAAAATTGGATGAATCATTGATGAAAGAAATAAAAGAAGGAGTGAAAAAAATGAGGGAAGAAATGAAAGAAATGAAAACAATGTTTGAGGAACAAAAAAGAACAATAGAAAATCAAGGCATTGTTATCAGAAATATAAAAAAAAATCAAAATAGATTTAGTGACCATCAAATTAGAATAGCAGACCTTCTAAATATATGTTTTCGTACAATAATTTTTTTATTTATTTGTTTAATTCTAATTATATTAATAAAATATTTATAATATAAAATATTGCTTGAAATATCTATTAAATTGATACCAAGAATTAAATTTTAAAAGCTTTTTAATATTGTACATGTGCTTGTGAAAGATGAATTAATTGGCAGGGTAATCATTTACAATCAATTGTAATTGATTGTAATCGATTGTAATCGATTGTAAATGATTATAATCGATTGTAATCACTGTAAATCGATAGACAATGGGTAATCGATTATAATAAATAATCATTTATCATCGATTATTAATTATTAATGAGAATTGATTATTAATTGTAAATGATTACCCATTGTTTATTGATCTGTAGCGATTACAATCGATTGTAATCATTTACAATCAATTACAATCGATTATTTAAAATTAATGATCATTGATTATAGATGTTCACCGATTCTAAACAAAAAATTAATTTTAATAATCATTGATTATATTTGATTGCAATTAATTATAATCGATTATTAATAATCGATTATTGGATAATAATCGATTATAATCAGATATAAAAATTTCCTGATATAAATGAAAAAATAGATTTTGTTGGTACTAAAAGTTGTTCTTTTTGATTGACAATGGTGTTTTGTTTGGCTCTTGTTAGCCAATTGAAAAAATAGTTTCTTACTTTCAGTATAAAAAGTTATTGAACTATTGATTAATGTGATATTAGTGGATAAGTTATTGTTTTAGATAATAATGGTACAGGTGAATTTGTTCTTGATTTTTGCTTGCATGCTATTATTTATTGTGAGTATTCATACCTTTTTTGTACAAATACAACAGTATCAGTTGATAAGTTTTCCAAATAGTGAAATACTTGATTTTTTGATGATTTTGTGCGTGTGAATAATCAGTTATAAAGTTGTTCTTTAATAAATTTATTATTTTAATTGTTTGCAATTTCAATATATAAAATTTTGACAAGTTAATATAGTCTATTTTCTTTTTTTGGAGGTACTTCTTTTGGTATTAATGCATTTTTAAGAAGATTGTACTGATGGATAACTTCAACTTGAATAATTTATTTATCCAGTTTGATAATGATGATATAGATTTCTTTTCAAAAAGCTATACACAGAGAGGGCACCAAAAATCTGCTACTATTTTTAGTTCTTATATATGAGAATATTTAGAAATGGCTAATAGTAATTATATTCATGGCAAATTTTAAATAAGAAAGATATAAATGATGAAAATGAATAGTTAACAATAATAAGCTAACAAGAATATAAGTATAAGATAAATATTTAAATGTATTTGAATAATAATAAGATAATACTAAAACTAAATATATACTATAAATCAAAGTTAAAAAGTGTATTGATAAGGTAAAAGGTAATACAATGACAAGTGAAAACAATAAAAGTAAAATAAAAATAAAATAAAAGAAAAACAAAAGAAAAACAAGACACAAGCAAATAAAAATAAAGTAAATAAAAGAAATAAACAAGAAAAGTGAAAAAGATAAGATAAAGATTAAAATCAGGATATAATCTTCTTAGTTTATTTCAAGTCAATTCTCATGTTATATATATAATAAATTTGAGTTATGCTAATCTATATATTATTTATATATATAGATTACAAAGTAAAATTAATAAAAGTAAAAAAATATAACATGTTAAAACACAATAACTATTAAAAAGTGATTTGTGTAAAATCTATGTGTTGCTAATCAAATTAATATAACAAGGATTAAAATAAATTACCAATAAGATTTAAAATATACATTAATATAAAATTACTATGAATTAATTGATTAGATGAAATTAAAATAAAAATAATGCGATAAAAATGAAAAATAATTGGATAAAAATATTAATTATTGTTATTGGATAATAATAAAAGAAAATTATAAGATATAGAAAAGAAAAATAAAATAGTAAAAAAAATATTACTGCACTTTTGAGATTAAATGCATATTGAAAAGATAATAAAAAATAGAATAATAACAATATGTACAGTCAAATTTCTCTATAGTCATTATCCTTGGAAAAGCAAAATTTGGTGACTATAGAGAGGATGTGATTATAGAGAGATTTTTTTTATTATGTTTATATATAAATAAAAAAACAAAATAAAATGACTATAGAGGAGTGTAACTATAAATGGGTGTGACTATAGGGAGGTTTGACTGTAAATGAGAAAGCAAACTAAATGATTATAAAGAGATTTGATTGTAGTTTTAATTTTGTCCAATGACATTATTCTAACTATTATTTAATAATCTTAACTAAATTATTGTTCAATTAACTTATAATATAAATTTATCAATAAAATATGACTAAATATTTATATTATAATAATAATAATTATATTAACACTATCTATACTATCATTATTAGATTTATTATCACTTTGATCATCAAATATATTTTGAAATCAGTTAATTTTTGTATTTTTCTATTGAGTAGTGATATTTTTATTAGCTGATAGAATTATATTTAATTAACTTTATTAAAAAAATATAAAAAAAATTTGCATTAACTATTTATTTTATAATATATATAAATCTAGTTTTTTAAATAATTAATTATAAGATAATAATTAAAAATTATTATTTTAAATACTTGTTTTAATCTAAGTTTAATAATTATATTATATACTTTTTTTTATATATATTCAAACTATAATATAATTAATATATGAATTTATTTAATATAATTAAATTTTTTTATAATTATTATTTTTGAAAAAGTAAAATTAAATATTTATAATTATAGAAAGATTTTTTTATTATATTTATATACAAATAGAAAAACAAAATAAAATAATTATAAAAATATGATTATAAATGAGTATAATTATAAAAAAATTTAATTATAATTATTATTATTAATTTATAAAAAGATTAAAATAATATTTTAATATTTTATATAAATTATTTTTTTATTAAATTAATTTTATATTTACTAAAGCAAAAAAACTATAAATTTTGTCCAGAATTTTTGGTACTTTTTTTAAAGTTTGTAATTCAATATATATTATTAAAAAAAGCAAAATAATTAATTAAGTATTTATTTTTTTATAATTTCTTTAATTTTGCAAAGAAATATATCACAAAATATTTAAAAATTATTTTTAAATTATTTAACTTAAATAATTTTTTATAATAAAAAATTATCTATATTAAATATTTTTACTTAAATAGAAAGATCAAAAAACTAATATAATAATATACTTTGCATTTGATTTTACTTTTTATAATTTTTTGATTTATTCTTTATATTTTAGTTATCAAATATTTTTTTCTATTTAATTGTCTTATTTATTTAGTTGATTAATTTGATAATAATATTATTGGATTTGTTTTTTTTTATTATAATTTGTATTTAATTTATTATAAAATCTACACAAATGATTATAAGAGATTTGATTATATTTAAACATTTATTTTAGCTTTCTTACTGATATCTAAAATACTTCAATGATTAAAAAACTCATAACTGAAATAAATATATTCAAGTTGTAATGCTTTGAAGAAATTTGCCATTGATCCATAATTTCTATTATGACTGGCCAATAAATTAGGAACACATAACATGTTAAGTTACACTGTTCGTTTCTCAATACGTATATCAATATTGGGTTTAGAAATACGTGCTATATAGATGGAAGTTAACAAGGACGAAGCACTTCGTTGTCTCCAGATTGCTAAAAATCATCTATCTTTGGGTAATTTGAATTCAGCTCGAAAATTCACAAAAAAATCTATATCTCTATATCCTACACCAGATGCAAAAACATTATTAAAAACGATCGAGTCCACCAGCTTTTCAGAAATAGACGAAAATGAAGCGCCAGCATCTTCTTTTTCGTCATCAAGAGAACACATTCAGGGAAGACAACCCCGAGATTATACTCCGGAGCAGTCAGAAGCAGTAAAAAGAATCAGGAATTGTGGTGTGTATGAATATTATGAAGTCCTTGGTTTGGATAAAGATGCTAGTGATGCTGATATAAAAAAGGCATATAAAAAGGTTGGTTATTTGGCCCAACGGTAATTCATGTATTATTCAACCGCAATGGCCCATTTTCCTCATTTTTTTGTCTCACGAATTCAAGATCATGTTCTAATGCCGAATTCAAAAAAGATAATTGTTCCACCTTTGTGATTGTGGATTTAGTTGGCCTTGTTGATGCATCCTGACAAGAACGGTGCCCCCGGAGCCGATGAAGCCTTCAAAAGTTCGTTTTTCACTATTTTTTGACATTATACTTTAAACACATGCTAATCAAATCTGATTTTAGTGATCAGCAAGGCGTTTCAAGTGCTGAATGACCCTCAAAAACGAAAGCTATTTGATGAATATGGTGCCGATCCAGATTCAAGAGGCACCAATTTACCTAATCAGGATTTTGTTAATTCTAGATATAAAGATTTTTCGAATGGAATGGTCTTTACTGATGAAATAACTCCGGAAGAATTATTTGAAATGTTTTTTGGTGGAAGAGGTACATATTATTATTAAAAGATATTTCTAGTTTTATTTAATAAATTTTATATGTTTACATATATTTTCTTGTTTTACAATGATTTTACAGGATTTAATTCAGCAACTTATGTCGGCCGAGGTTTTCGTGGAGGACGATTTACTACAACACGTAGAACTTCACCTCCAAATGGGGAAGATGATCAAACTACACCAGGATGGCTTCAATTATTTCAATTGCTTCCTCTTATTCTCCTTTTTATATTCTCCTTTTCTTCAAGCTTATTTAATTCGTCACAAGATCAATATCCTACATTTTCCCTTCAAAGAAATCCTCCTTATACGGAACAGAGGTTCACTCATTCATTCCAAATCCCTTATTTTGTGAATCCTAACGACTTTAACATGTTTGAACAGAATCCGCGAATATTACGACGATATGAAGAAGCTGTTGAGACATCGTATGTTAAACAATTGCAGCAGTATTGTAATTCCGAGAAAATAGTACAAAAGCAAAAACTGAACGAAGCTTTGGGATGGTATATTAACCTCGATGAACGGAAACTTGAAGAGGCTAAAAAGATGAAAATGCCTAATTGTGAAAAATTAAACGAATTAGCAGAATTAGTTAGTCAATCTCGTAAAACTTCTAACTTCTAATTTAATTTTATTTAAATTTTGTATTAATTAATCACCGAATAGACGCAATAATAAATTGCTAATTATTATTTATTAAATTTAAATTTTCAAAAAATGAATATAAATCGGTGAACTATATATATACATCATTCAAAATAGGTTAAGAACATATATCTGATATAAAGTAAAAAAAACGCTACTTTAAAACACAACGATCAGGAAATATTAATCTATACCTATAATGACCGAACTATGCCAAATTTTCAATTACTAACTTGGATAAAATTCAAGAATTATTTACTTCTTAGAATTGTGAACAGTAATATTAAGAGTTATAGTAACAGGCAATTCCACTTCTTTCTCATCCATTTCAACCTTAATTTTAGCCTTGTTTTGAGTTGCGGTCCAGCCATAACTGCCGGTGCTATGCTTGTGCGGCTTTGCGATTAATGTAAATAAAGGCTCATCAGGGGTTGCTTCAGAGCCATTTTTAGTTTCGTTTTTCTCGGATGTTTCATTATCTTCGGCCTCCTTTTCTTCTGAATGATTAAGATTTTTTATAAATACCTGGAGTTCTTTAGCATTTGCGAGAAAATCTTTAGGTTTAGGAAGGGTGGAAGTTTCCTCGGTTTCTGTTTTCTAAATAAAAAATAATAATATTGTAAACATTGTGTGTATCTATTATATATCTTGATCATCAGAATCAATGTGTTGTTGCTAATAATAATACTAATGCTTTATTATGATTATTATATTATAATAAATACCTCTGTTTTCTTCTTTTTCGATTTAGGGGCAGAAGCAGCAGCAGAAGAGGCAGCTGCTGCTTTCGCTTCTTCGGTCTTGGTTTTCGCAGCGCGTTTAGGAGTCGTTTTACGTTCAACTTCCTCAGGGGCTACGGCGGGTTTTCTTTTACGCGTAGGTTTTTTCTCTTCTGTATGCTCAGTCATTATTCTTCTTGCTTTTGTAATTAGATGCTTGATAGAAGAGAGAAAAAGACGAGCTTTTCTATTTTTCCGAGTATCAAATAACTAATTCAGTCGAAAGAAAGTGTTATTCCCCTTTATTGTTTTGAATTTATCTGAATAATACAATAACAAATGATATAATATGATTGGTCAAATTGATATCAAATGACGTGAAAGGATTTGCAATATTTATATATTTATGTATTGTAATACAATTTACAATTAATTAATTTTCGAATGCTAATTTTTTATACACCCAACTTCCAGTTTCTTTATATTTTTCATCTTTACTGTTGTAATTTATTAATTTATCAAGAGATAAATATCTCTCGTCTGGAGCAATCCAATCAAAGTACTGGAGTACAGTTTCTTCACCCCGTTTTACTTTATCACGTTGCCGTTGTTCAATTTCACCCTGGTTAATTTTATACGTGTATATAAATTTCAATCAGAAAAAATAAGAATGATAATTGCGATAAGGAACAATCAACAAAATCACAGATTATTACTTTTAATTTTGATGCAGTTGAAAAATCGCCTTCGTTAATAGCCTTTGCCACATATTTCCATAATTTTCTGCTTTCCAGGTCATTTTGCTCTTCCTCCAAAGACACAATGGGATTTGCTCGTTTATAAGACTCAATGTCAAAAAATGGTTTTTTTTCCTTTGTATTGTGATTTTCGATTGTTGATTTGCCTGCCCAAGAACCTGAAGCTGTGAATAAAGGAGTCTTGAGTGAACTACTACGAAATATTTGTGCCTTGAACGAATTTTTAGATCCAGAGACCCAGCCTGTTTTTAATATAATTATATATATATATTTTTTAATAAATCATCGAGTAAAAAAAAATGATCGAAAAATACAACAAAAAACCTTTTCCGGTAAATTCAATAGTTATATTATAATTTTGGGATTGAATATAACTTGTTCCACTAGTTTATAGAAAATTGCGAATTTATTTATATTAATGTCAAGAATTGAATTTATTATTTTTTTTAATAGCGTAATAATTATTAAATCAGACCTCAATTCTACATAAGGAGCACCTCTCCATAATCCAAGGATTTGCAATGACGGCAAAGTGATCAGATATTTATCATTATGATCACGCATACGAACTATAATGTGTCCAACTTGGATTACATCTATGCGTGCTGCAGTTGCTCTGAAATGACTTTTTTGACCAGCTATTAATTTATTATTATAATTAATTTTAAGTTATGGATATAAGTTATACTAATAATAAATAAATATCGTAATACTTACTATGACCGTTCGCTGATACACCAGCCTTCACATTTTCGAGATAAATAGCCGAAACAGGTGGATGATGGCTAACTTGCTCAGAGAATAAAACTGTCTCTCCAAAATTATTTCTATCTTCCCAACGGGCTAGAAATTGCTCACCTAGAATTGGATTGAATGGTTTTTTCTCGATTTTTTCTTTATCTTGTCTCGATCTAATAATTCATAATTAAAATAAAATGTTTTATAGTAAATAAGTATCTTGATCTGATTATTACTTTTTATTATTAACAAATGAATAATATTCAAACAAACCTGAAAGAACCATATAGTGTGCTTACATACCATCGAAGTACAGCAATTGTTCTATTAATTTCTTCAGTTTGATTAGCAATATCAGCAAAAAATTCAGGATAATCTGCCCAATATTGCCTATTTATTAAATCAGTAAAAATAGTATATTTATCATTTCTCTCGTTAATATATTTTTTGTGTAAGAATGTATCGGTATATACCCGTATTCCAAGGTTGAAACTCCTGATAATAGAAAAGAAGGACATGTCAAATTACTAATATCCCCAGTGAAAGTTGTTAGTGTCGACAAGAAGCTACTCAATTCATATTTACGCGCAGGTTCTATTTCATTATCAATATTAGTGTCACTAGTAACGTTATTATTATTGTCAGAATCGTTGTTACTCATTATTAATTTATTAGAATGTTTTTAAGAATGATGATACAAAAATACATATATATAACAAGCAACGAACTATACATATCCATATTAAGTGAAAAATCCTTTGGCTTTTTATTTGCATATCTTATCTATAATCAATCTGCTAATCTATTTATCTAATTATAATTTTCTAACTTCTGCAAGGGTATCCCAAGAAATCGATTGAATACTATCATTTGATCCTTCAATGATAAATCCATCCCCCAAATTCTGCAAATCAAATTTACCAAGACGAATTTCTGATTCTTTGATGAGTGCATGTTTTTGTTGATGTTTCAAAGTGACGATATTATTGACTGTATCGTAATCCATGATTGTAGCTTCCTATTATCGTCAATAGATTATGAAATATAACGAGTATTGAATCGTAAAAAAATAAGCTAAATAAAATCAAATGAATAAAAAATTACTTTAAAACCACTCCATTCTGGTGTGAAAGAAGATGATAATTCAAGAATCTATAAAAAACATTGACATCAATAGTATATAAAAAGTAAAAGAAAATACAAGTCATACATATAGGCATTTCGATACCTTATAAGCAATTACATCTCCAACAGATGGACATCCAGTGTAAGATTCCAATTTGGAGTAATCCAAATTATTATTATTATTATTATTCTCACTATTATAGTTATCTTCATCATTATCATTTTTCTCGTCATTATTATTATGACTTTCGTCATTTCTATCACCAACACTGTTATGATTATCGTCGTAATCATCAATAACATCTTCATCACGACCGTCAAAATTGTGCTTTCTTTTTCTTTTATTTCTTTTGCCTCTCTTTCTGTTTGGACGCCAAAAATCTACACGGGTCTCAATTACTCGTTTAGAAGGAAGATCATCAATATCTTGACATGTTAAATTCTGTTGTCCTTCATCACAAATATTCATTTCATCGGTAATGGCGGCTGAGGTGGTGGCAGTGATTTCGTCAATCTGATTAATATCACCATTATTATCGTCATTGAATCTCAAATGTTTGGGTGACATTGAAAGCATTTCTTGAAGATATCCTTTCTTTTTATTAGATGTTGATGAAAGTGATAACGGTGGTCGATATGAAAATTTATTTTTCTGATTGTCTTCATTGATTGGAACTATTGTTAGTTTTGATTGCATTTCTTTAACAAAAATTTTTTTTATTGGCGGAGATAATAAGAGATTGTTATGAAATGCGGCACCGACATAGTTTCCTCTGTCATTGTCATCACCATTATTATTCTTATTCTTATTATTCTTATTCTTATTAGTATTAGTATTAGTATTAGTATTAGTATTATTATTATTATTATTATTATTATTATTATTATCATCATTATCATTATCATTATCATTATTATCATTATCATTATTATTATTATCATTATTATTATTAACCTTAAACTTTTTTCCAGTCTTTACAGCCTCCTCCTTTGTAATTCGCTCATCCCCATTCTCTTCGTCAGAACTGCTCTTTGATAACGATGAATTTGAATTCGCTTCATGAGCCCAACTGGATAATGAGAATTCGTTGCTTTTTTGTTCTCTTGAAACTGGTTTTTTTTTTTTCATTTGATCTGTCATTATTAATTTTCAATTTAAGGTTTTTATTTTCATCTTTAGCTAAGGGCGAGTATGGCAGATTATTATCAGAAGAGGATTCAGTTGATGAAGATGAAGAAGACGCGTCTTGTTTCCTTTTCTTGCTAATTTGAAACGAATCTTTTCCTTTCTTTTCATCGCTTTCTGATTCAGAAGAAGAGGAACGCGTCTTTTTCTTTGATTTTAAATCAATTTCCTTTTTACGATGTTTTGGATTTGAAATTCGATTGTACTTTAAATGTTTATCTTTTGAAGAGTAATAATATATTATACATGTGTATGCGAATTTTGTAAGTTAAATGAGATATCGATCCTAAATACCTTTATTTGACTCGAAATTCGCAGTTTTTCGTGGTTTAACACTTGAAGAATCAGATTATTATCATACTTCCAGATGAAAAGAAATGTTCAGTAAGAACAAATAAAACTCAGCTTACCAAACAACATCATTTTCTCGAATCAAACCAAGGGTAGTTCCATTTGGTAACAATTCAAATTCTTCTAAAGTAAGAATTACTCCATTTGGACAAGCCGTCTCTAGTTCGAAATCGCGAAGTACACGCACGACAAGGTCTTTTATCAATTCATCCTTTTGTTCAGACTCTGGCTGACATATTTCATACCAGCAACGGCGAGTAGGCAAAGGGGAATCAAATACAAGCTTAACACGCATTCTTTGAAATATATACTATCGAAAGATTTTTATCATTCGGGAAATTAGTAAATGACATGTTATACAATTTCATTTGCGGGCCACGTGATAATGTTTGATGACGTCATCGATGCGAAAGTTAGTAGACTAGTCCTGGCAGAATTTCGGTTAGGGTTTAAATATAGACAAAAAATAGTTTCATAGGCAAAAGTGTCTGATCACGTGATTACGACCGATGCTGATTATATCCGATCGCCGAATATATACGTTCGACTAAAATTCATGTGATAATTTACATGTCGGTTTCATTGTAATGATCGGTTTGCAATGATAATTAAAATAATAATGATATTTAAAATTAGAACAATTAGAAAGGATCAAGCATTTTTGCACACTTGAATGTTCTTTGTGACTAAATATTTCTATATGATTGATTTTTTTAATTAAAATAATTAAAAAAAACTTAATGTTGTTACCGTTTTGAATTTTTGTGTATAAAAGTATTTCAAAATGGCAATAGTGACTGTATTCACGGCAATTTACTTTGAATATTATGACTAAATGGTGTTTATGATGATAAAATGATGTTTCTTAACAAAATAAAAATGACGAATATGAGAATAAACTAATAACAAGACTTAAATTAAAAGGTAAACTTAACCAAAAATTACTTATAATTCCAAAATAAAATCAATTTAACATATCAAACCCAACATTTAACCAAAAGAAACTCAAAACCAAAACTTAAGAACTTAAAATATGAACTAAAGAACTTAAATCAAACTGAGAGAACTTGATTTTTATTAATTATCAGCACTTGTATTTATACATGTTTTTGTATTACA